CCTGCCTCAGCCTCCCGTGGTGCTGGGATCACAAGCATGAACCACGGTGCCCGGCCAACTTCTTGATTAAAGATCACCCCCAGGCTCATTGGCATGGGAGATCAAGCAGCTGAATCTCAAGGTACTTTGCACCCACCCAACAGTAACAGTCAGCGGTTGCCTGGCTCAGGGGCACTAGAGGGCAGTGTTTGAGAGGAAAGAAGTCAGCACAGCAGCAGGGCCGGCCCCGGGGCAGACAGCCCACATGGTCAGGAAAAAGTGAGTGAACGGATGTGGCCCCCAGAACCCCTCCCTGAAATTGCAGTTGATTTTTATTCCCCACCTCAAGCCCACATATCCAAAGCTTCCTCTGAACGCTCCTTGCAGTGCACAAGATAGAAATGATTGACAGGCACGGAGCCGCGGCGGGCCCCATGCTGGACACCAGCATCTGGCACCGTGGGTCACCAAGCACCAACCTGATCTCCTCAGAGCCAGGTGTGTGTTGGGATTCAGGATTTTTCCGTTTCAAAGGTAGTATGATCTCTACTCCACAGGGCACACGGCACCCTCAGTGCTCAGCACAGCAGTGGGCAGCAGCCTGGTGAGCTTTTCTGCAGGGAAGTGTGTGAACGTTCACACCGAGCGGGGTCAGTCACGTCTGTGAGTCATCTCCCACCAACACAGGTCAGGTTTTCCCGCCCAATGAGCTTGGGGATGGCTTCACTTCGAAGCTCTTTGGATCTGTGGATTCTGGAATTTTGGATTTGTGATACCCATTTGATCAAAGAGGCAACCAAAGGCCGGACGCGGTGGCTCACGCCTGTAATCTCAACACTTGGGGAGGCCGAGGTGGGAGGATCATGAGGTCAGGAGATCGAGACCATCCTGACTAACACGGTGAAACCCCATCTCTACTAAAAATACAAAAAAAACAATTAGCCGGGTGTGGTGGCGGGCGCCTGTAGTCCCAGCTACTCGGGAGTCTGAGGCAGGAGAATGGTGTGAACCCGGGAGGCGGAGCTTGCAGTGAGCCAAGATTGCGCCACTCACTCCAGCCTGGGCAACAGAGCGAGACTCCGTCTCAAAAAAAAAAAAAAAAAGAGTCAACCAAGGTCTAATGGGTCAAGTGACTTTCCACATCCGTGAAGGTCGTGAGAAGCAGGACCAGGATGGTGGCCCAGCAGTGTCTTCAAGGATAAGCTGGGCCCTTCACCGTGCAGGCCCCTCTCCGTCGGTCCACTCTGCCACTGCTATCTGCCACACCCTGCCCTGATATCTCCTCTCTGCCAGGTTTTTCCCTCACGTCCTCAACTCAGCCAAGAGCTGGTTTCTTCCAGAAAGAGCCCTGCTGTCAGGTGATTTATTGGACTTCTCTTTTTTTGGATGTTTGTTTTCAGGGTTTAGCTGATCAAAATGGTATCATTGTAACAGGCAGCTCTCAATATAAGTCTTCAGAGGCCTGTGTGTCTTTTTCTGTAAATCAATTCCCAAAAGCAGGATTGTTGGGGCATGGGGTGTATGCAGTTTTGATCTGATCACATACAAGCACTTTTTTTTTTTTAAGGGATAGTGGCAGTTTGCAGCCTCAGAAGTGTTTCGAGTGCCTGTTCCTCCAGATCCTTGCCCGCCCAGGACGTCAGCACTCTTGTTAATTTTATTGTATCTGGGTAGTGAAAAAGAGTAGTCTCTCATTCTTTCAAACTGCATTTCCCAGTTATTAGAGTTTGAATCTTTTTGTCTGTTTACTGATGTTGGAATTTTTACTTTATTGAATATTCATCTCAGTCGATTACTTTTAAATGGGTTGTCTTTTTCTTAGTTTATGAAAGCTTTTGTAGATTATATCTGTTAAGAATATATTTAGAGTATATCTTTTAAGAATAATCTATTTCTGCATCACAACTTTTAACACACACGCACACACACACACACACACACACACACAGTCACACTCTCTCTCACTGTTCCCCAGTCTATCAATTTGCCATTTGACTTTACGGCATTTTTTTCAATCTATAATTTGTCAAATAAGCTATCTTTTCCTTTCTGGTTTTATGATCTTTTGCTGAAACTCCTCCCTCCCCACTTTCCCTACCCAGTTATACAACATGCAGACAACATACAAATATTCTCCTAATTTCTCTCTTTTTTTTCCCCCCCCAGAGATGGAGTCTCACTCGGTCACCCAGGCTGGAGTGCAGTGGGTGCAACTTCCACCTCCTGGGTTCAAGCAATTCTCCTGCCTCAGCCTCCCGAGTAGCTGGGGTTACAGGCTTGTACCACCCCGCCCAGCTAATTTTTTTTTTTTAAAGTAGAGATGGGGTTTCACTGTGTTGGCCACTCTGCTTTCAAACTCCTGGCCTCAAGGGATCCACCCATCATGGCCTCCCAAACTGCTAGGATTATAGTCATGAGCCACCGCAGCCAGCCTCTCTCTGTTTTTTGTCTTTTTTTTTTTTTTTTTAAGAGACAGAGTCTTGCTCTGTTGCCCAGGCTGGAGTGCAGTGGCACGATCACAGCTCACTGCAGCCTCGAAACGAGCTCAAGCCAGGAGCCTCAGCCTCCCGCGTAGCTGGCACCACAGGCATGCACCACCATACCCACCCTCCTAATTTCTCCTGAAATTCTTCTGTGCCTTTACTTGTACACATCCAGATCTTCCACCCATCTTATCTATAGAAGGTTTTGGCCAGATGGAGAGCCGATATGTCACTACTGCTGCTAAACCAACCGTCCTTTCCACACTGACTTGAAATCTGTCTTCTGTCATGCGTGTATATATATATATACACACACACACACACACACACACACTTAGATCTATTTCTAGGCCATCTATTCTGTGCCAGAGATGTCTGTGTCTTCCTATCTCAGAACACATGTATTACTTTTAGAATCAGAAGAAAGGGTTCTTTTTGTTTTTTGATTTTTTTTTTTTTTTTTTAAACCATGTCTTTGGAGCCCCTGCTGAGCTGGACAGGCACAGAAATTCCTGGCGGCTGGGAGGCCAGGGGAGAGAGGACAGCAGGGAGGATGTCACAGCCCCAAATCAAGGGAGAGGAGAAATAAGGAGGACTCAGCTGCTTGTAAAATAGTCTTCCCTTTTATTTTCAATCAACCCTTTTCCAAGTTAGTGCCACGAGTTGAGATCAGGGGGTCAGAGCCCACTGGGATGTGGCGGGGGCAGCAGGGGGACTCATGTCCCCCGCACCAGCTCAGTCCCTCCAAGGATGGGACCGGCAGCCAGGGATGAAGGGTGTGAGGCTGTCTGCCCCCTCCCCTGCCAGCCCTACTCCCTAGTCTGCCCCCTCAGCTACTCCCAAGGCCAAGGACAGGGAGGCGGTCCTGTGCGGGCTGTCCGTGGCCAAGAGTGTTAGTGGTCAGAGCCCAGGCAGGCTGGGTTAGTGGGGTCTCCTCCGGCAGCCAGGGAAGGAACTGTAGAGAAAGGGAGAGACAGAGCAGTGATGCAGGTGGGAGGGCCTGCCCCGTGTGATCCACCCAGCAGGAAGCACGCAGCCCATGCCTGGAGCAGCTCAGAGGGCAGGAGGAGAGGGCAGAGGCCAGGCTGTAGGAGCTGGGGGTGTCCCTTGGAAGCTCACCGAAGAGGGGAGCCAGGGTCCAGTCCGGCAGGGAGGAGGGGCTCAGATAGACGACTGCCACTGCACAAAGCGCTTGGATTCCTGCTGGAAGATTCAGGGGAGAGGAGGGAATGGAGTGGGAATTGGTTTTGTACTGTGGGAGCCCTGCCCCTTCTCCCTCAGGCCCGAGTCCAGGCCCCCAGCCCCTCCTCCCTCAGACCCAGGAGTCCAG